TACTGCTGATATAATGAGCCATGTCCTATGACTGCTTCTCTGACTGTCAATACCTGCTCTGTTCTGCAGAGGAGAGCCACTTGTGAACTCCTTAGTGATTCTGGTGCCCGTGTACCCAGGGCGTTCGTGATGACCTAGGTGAGTGGTATTGTCTTCTGGGTCATCCCATGAATATATCCTCTGCTGAGTCTTCTGGCTTCATTATAATAGATCTATTCCAGCATGCCCATTTTCCTTAACCTTTTAGTCCATTCCTCCATGATCTGCCAGGGCAATTCAGGTATTTCAACTTTGTTCTTTGTGGACCATTTTTCTCCAGTCTCTTAGGACGTTTTCTTGCCACAAGTTTGCACAATCCCTGTGAATCTTTGCCAGGGAGTTCAATTTTGTATCTCAGGAGCATGCTCCCAAATGAATAAACTCCCCTCATCCAATAATATGTCCTATCTCCTTTAAGTCAGTGCACTCAAAATCCATTCTGTGAGTACCTCCCCATATTCCTGCTTGTACATAGCAGCTGATTCTTGCTACTCTTTGGGCACAGTCCCTTTTCTTCCTTGTTATGCTCAGCATATTGGTAGCTAAATTATTCTACCATTTAACCTTAGTTATTAGCCTGGCAACCAGGAGATGAGGTAGGGATATTAATAAAGGTATCCCTATTGCCCTGTGAGGGAGTGACCTCAGCTTTTCACAACTGTGGGAATGCTAGCTTTTAATAGGGAGAAAGGGCCGGGCACGGTGGCTCATGCCTGTAATCCCAGCACTTTGGGAGACCGAGGCAGGCAGATCATGAGGTGAGGAGATCAAGACCATCCTGGCTAACACGGTGAAACCCTGTCTCTACTAAAAATACATAAAAAGTAGCCAGGCATGGTGGTGGGCGCCTGTAGCCCCAGCTACTCCCGGGACTGAGGCAGGAGAATGGCATGAACCCGGGAGGTGGAGCTTGCAGTGAGCTGAGATTGGGCCACTGCACTCCATCCTGGGCGACAGAGCAAGACTCTGTCTCAAAAAACAACAACAACAACAACAACAACAACAATAACAAAAAACAAAAGTAATTTTTAAATTTCCAAGTATTTAAGTATTTTTCCATTTATTTTCCTATTACTGATTTATAACTTAATTCCATGTAATCAAGGACCATATATTGTATGATTCCAATTCTTTAAAATTTATCTAGGTTTTTTTCTGACCCAGGACCGGCTATCTTGGTGACTAATCCATATGTACTTAAGAGAATGTGTATTTTACTATTTTGAGGTGAAGTGCTCTGTGACTATCAATCTAATCTATTTTGTTAATATGTTATACAGTTCTCTTACATCCTTACTAATTTTGTGTTCTTGTCCTATATTATTGAGAGAGCAGTGTTAAACTCTCCAACTATAATGGAGACCCCAACTACAATTGTGGGTTTGTGGGTTTCTCTTTTCAGTTCTAACCATTTTTATTTCTTATATGTTAAATTTCAGATGTTAGGTATGTACCCACTTAGAATTCTTATGTCTTCTTTTTTAAAAACTTTTTTTTTATTATACTTTAAGTTCTGGGATACATGTGCAGAACGTGCAGGTTTGTTACATAGGTATACACATGCCATAGTGGTTTGCTGCACCCATCAACCTGCCATCTACATTAGATATTTCTACTAATCCTATCCCTCCTCTAGCCCCCTACCCCGCTGACAAGCCCCAGTGTGTGATGTTCACCTCCCTGTGTCCATATGTTCTCATTGTTCAACTCCCATTTATGAGTGAGAACATGCGGTGTTTGGTTTTCTGTTCTTATGTTAGTTTGCTAAGAATGATGGTTTCCAGCTTTATTCATGTCCCTGCAAAGGATAGGAACTCATCCTTTTATGGCTGCATAGTATTTCATGGTGTATATGTGCCACATTTTCTTTATCCAGTCTATCATTGATGAATATTTGGGTTGGTTCCAAGTCTTTGCTATTGTGAATAGTGCCACAATAAGCATACATGTGCATGTGTCTTTGTAGTAGAATGATTTGTAATCCTTTGGGTATATACCTGGTAATGGGATTGCTGGGTCAAATGGTATTTCTAGTTCTAGATCTTTGAGGAATAGCCACACTGTCTTCCACAATGGTTGAACTAATTGACACTCCTACCAACAGTGTAAAAGCATTCCTATTTCTCCACATCTGCTCCAGCATCTGTTGTTTCCTGACTTTTTAATGATCACCATTCTAATTTTTTTGCATTTCTCTAATGACCAGTGATGATGAGCTTTTTTTTCATATGTTTGTTAACTGCATAAATGTCTTCTTTTGAGACATGTCTGTTCATATCCTTTGCCCACTTTTTGATGTGGTTTTTTCTTGTAAATTTGTTTAAGTTATTTTTTTTATGTGTGAGACAGAGTCTCACTCTGTCATCCATGCTGGAGTGCAGTGATACAATCTTGGCTCACTGCAAACTCCGCCTCTCAGGGTCACACCATTCTTCTGCCTCAGCTGGGACTACAGGCGCCCACGAGTGCACCCAGCTAATTTTTTGTATTTTTATAGAAACAGGGTTTCAATGTGTTAGCCAGGATGGTCTGGATCTCCTGACCTCATGATCCGCCCGCCTCGGCCTCCCAAAGTGCTGGAATTACAGGCTTGAGCCACCGTGCCTGGCCTAAATTTGTAGATTAGCCCTTTGTCAGATGGATAGATTGTAAAAATTTTCTCCCATTCTCTAGGTTGCCTGTTCACTTTGATGATAGTTGCTTTGCTGCAGAGAAGCTCTTTAGTTTAATTAGGTCCCATTTGTCAATGCTGGCTTTTGCTGCCATTGCTTTTAGTGTTTTAGACATAAAGTCTTTGCCAGTGCCTATGTCCTGAATGGTATTGCCTAGGTTTTCTTCTAGGATTTTTATGGTTTTAGGTCTTATGTTTAAGTCTTTAATCCATCTTCAGTTAATTTTTGTATAATGTGTAAGGAAGTGATTCAGTTTCATTTTTCTGCATATGGCTAGCCAGTTTTCTGAACACCATTTATTAAATAGGGAATCTCTCCCCATTGCTTGTTTGTGTCAGGTTTGTCAAAGATCAGATGATTGTAGCTGTGTGGTGTTACTTCTGAGGCCTCTGTTCTGTTCCATTGGTCTATATATCTGTTTTGGTACCGGTACCATGCTGTTTTGGTTACTGTAACCTTGTAGTAAAGTTTGAAGTCAGTTAGTGTGATGCCTTCAGCTTTGTTCTTTTTAATATTTGTGCTTAATTTACATTTTATGAAATTATTCACATGGTTGCAATTATTCACATGGCATGAAGTCAGGCAGTCGGAGGGTCAGTGGCTCCATCTCAGAAAACCCCCTCAGCCCCATGCATGTGACTGCAGTGTGCCCAGTGCCACGGTCCATGCTCCAGGCAAGGGTCGATTAGGAATGGACTCTTAAACCAGGTTGGCAGTACACTCAGCGACCCGGAGGCCACCCCAGGGGAGTCCTGCTAGCCTGCTCTTGTGCCTATAGTGCAGCTGCCATCTGCATGTCTCCCTTGGGCTTCAGTAGCCAGGCAACCCCCATCTGCCCACCCGTTCCCCAGCCAGGACCCTAACCGCAGACTCTGGCACCAGACACTGCCACCACTGTCAACCAGGCCCTGCAGAGGCAGGAAAGTGGAACTGGCTGCTGAGCCCCTTCTGGTTGGCCACGCAGTACCCGTTTCTGTGGCCCCTGGACTCCTAGTGTGGGCTAAGGTGGAGTGGACCCTCGGGCTTTGCCACGGTGCAATGGTCCACCTGGAGACCATCCAAAAGAGAAGACCTACCAGCCCCTGCCAGCGCCCTAGGTGCAGCTGCCACCTGCACGTCAGGCACCGGCAGCAATGGTCAGACTATCTCTGATTCTCCATGCCCTCCCCACCCCCGCCTCAGCAGCAACCACTCCCTGACAGGACGCTGAGGTAGCGGCTGTCGGGAAGTCGACTGGGCAGGTGCATACGGATGGATAGACTCTCAGCCTCATCCCGCCGGCCACGACTTGCTCATCCACTGGCGGCTCCTCAGCCCTATTCTAGTGGCCACGGAGTGGCATGCAGGCAGCAGCCATGGGAACCCCGATTGCCCCGCCTCACACGTGCCCATCACACGACTTGGGCGACTGGGTGATCAAGTCAGGTTATGGCCCCAGCGGCGCCAAGAGGCCAAGAACCGGCGCTCAGCCTCATCCCCGTGGCTACAGAGTGCCAAGCGCCAGGTCCTGCGCTCTGGGCTCGGGTCAGGGGCAGCTGGCAAGGGCAGCGCAGCCTGTGGGGCCTTTGGGCGCGGCCAGCAGCAGCTCCGGTAAGCCACGTCAGCCCACTGGCGCTGCAGTGCAGCGGCTACCAGCACCTGGAGCAGGGGTCGCCGAGGATTGGGAGTCCCCAACCAGGACTGCGCCTCCAGCCGCTTGGACCCCGGGCCTGGCAGGGCAGCGGCAAGTCAGGCAGTAGGCGGCAGGAGAGCAAGGCACGAGCTTCAGCCTAGGGTGCAGGAGGCGCGCACCCTCCGGCCGGATGGGCGGCGCCCTCAGGGACCAGGAGGCCATCCCAGGGGAGCCCCGCCAGCCCCCGCTGGAGCCCGAGCTGCAGCTGCCACTTGCAAGTGGTGCGCTGGCTGCAGCGGTGGCAACCCCGGATCCCGTCCTCCCGCCTCGTGCCCATCAGCGCGGACCCAGGGGGCGACGCAGTAGCGAAGTCAGGCTGTGGGCCCGACGGCGGCACCAGGCGGAGAGGCGCCACTCGACCCTATCCCTGGGCTGCAGGGGGCCCAGCGCGGGAGGCCCCGCGCGTCGGGAGCATGTGGAAGACGGGAAGAGGGCGCGGGCGACAGTCAGGCCCTGGGGCAGGGCGCGCCTGGCGCTCCAGGGAGCCCCGCCAGCCCGCGGCGCCTCCGCAGCAACAGCCGCCTGCACGTGGCTCCGCGAGAGCTGCTAGGGCGGTTACTCTGCCTCGGGCCTGTAGGGCGGGGCCGGCTAAGGTGCGCGTGCTCGCTGGTCCTAACAGTTCTGTTGGGCGTTTCTGCTGAGAGGCGGGAGGCGCTGAGTGTGCTGAGGTCCGTGGACTGACTGCATTGCTTGTTGTTGCGCTTCGGAGGCGGCGATCCCCGAAGGCGAGATGAAATGTGACTGAAGCCGGTGACCTTAACCGAAAGTCGTTCCCAGGCTACGAGTTGCCGCCAAGGAGTGGCCTAGAGATGTTCGACGACTACGAGCCGGAGAGGTGGCCCACCCTCAGGGAGCGCTTGTGCTCAGATGGCTTCTCATTTCCCGAATACCGCATCAAATTGTCTCATCTGAGAAGGATCCACAGAGCTATCTTCTATGGTAGGCTGGAGAAACTGGAGTACCTTCTGCTCACGAGAAGTGACGTCAATAAGAGAGACAAGAAGGAAAGGTAATGGGGGCTGGGAGCCGGGGCTGCGGGAGGAGGCCTGCGGACGTGGGAGAAGTACCCGCTTCCAGGCTGAGGGCTGCGGGGCGGATGGGCCGGGGCTCGGAGTATGGACGGGGCCTAGGGGGTGCCTGGCTGGGGTGGGAGTGAGTGGAGCGGGGCCTGGGGAGTGGGGGTATATGAGGTGGCGGGATGTGGAGTGAGTTGGGGGATGGGAGTGGGGAGTAGGGGGTGCTTGGGGTGGGGGTGTGAATGGGCTTAGATGGATGGAATGAAGGCTTGGGGGTCAGGGGCGTGGACGGTGTGGGGTGGGGAGATGGGGGTGAGGGTTCAATGGGATAGAGGACTGGAGGTGGGGCTGAGGTGTGGGGGTGAATGGAATGGGGGAAAGGAGTGCAGAGGTGAAGGGGGAGAATCCTGTCACCAAAGAGGCTGGACTTTCCCTGGCAGGCTCAGCCGCACCTGGGATGTGGAAACCGTGGCTGGGGCGAGCACCCCAGGGCATTTTCATGAGCAGCAAAACAAAAACAAAACTTCAGTTGATTTCCAATCACTCACCATGCTGCTTCTTTATAAATCATTTTGAAGTGATTTCACTAATAAAATTCAGCATGTACAGCGTTTCATTCTTAATGTACACGTTTTAAAGCATAATGTTACATACATTATGGAAGGTGCATAGTGAGAGAAATCATTTCCATAATATATCAACTTCCTGGCTAAAAATTCTTTGGATGAAATCCAATATTTATTTTATATCAATGGACACCCATGTCAATATGGTTTTCACTGAGGGACCTTAGAGGGAAACTTTGAAGTGGGAAGGTGGTCTGTGTTCTTGAACAGAAAGACACATTTTTCTAAAGCTCTGAGCTCTTTCTGTGTTTGTAAATTTTACATAATCCAAATAAAGTTATCAGAGTGTTAAAATTACTCGTGCTGTCTTTTACTATTGTGATGGCATTAAGAAAACTTTTGAAACGGAGTCAGAAAGACTTGCCTTTCTAGATATGAAAATGTGCTTAATTTCCACAAGTTATTTACTAACAGCTGAAACAACAAATCAGTGAATGGAACAGGTTAGAAAATCCAGGAACACCCCAATATGTGTAAGAATTTATTAGGTTGGTGCAAAAGCAATTGCGGTTTTTGCTGCAATTAAAAGTAATGGCAAAACCGCAATTGCGTTTGCACCAATCTAATAGAATTTGATAATGGTGACATTTCATATTAGTAGGAAAAGATGAATTACTCATAAATGAAGTGCCTGCTAACTATTTGGAGAAAACTGGCTAGATTTTTATGTCACAGAAATAAGTTCGTTATGGAATGTAGATTAAACATTTTAAATGCACAAAATAAGAAAGATAACAGAAAAAACACAAATGCCTACTTATATTGATACATGTTTATATTCCTATAAATATCACAGGCACACATTCTGAGGGTCAATTTAGCAAAATAAAAAATTAAAACCTCCTGTTTATAAGAAAAAATTAACAAAAGACAGTATGTACGTATAAATAATAGATAAAAAAGTGATTTTCATTTTACAGCGAATTCTTCAAATCAACAAGAACTCTCATTTAAAGTAGAGCAAAGCACTTTTTTTTCAGATATTCAAGCAACCTATGCACATAGGAAAAAATATTTAGTGTTCCTGGGAGGAGAAGGTATTTAAGTTAAAAAAGGAGTGAAATTCTGTTTTCTTTCCACAAGTTTGTGAGGGTAAAGAGTTAGCAGTACATACACTGCTATTTAAAGTTTACATTTCTGATGACTTTTCAAATAGACAATTTGTTGGTAAGTATCACACTCTAAAAATGTATGTGCCCTTCACCCATCAATTCCATTATACTAAAATATCCTAGGAAATAGAGATACATGCAGTTTGTTTTTCTCAGCACTGCTTAAAATAGCAATGTATTTGGAAAACCCCTTATAATGGATTTTATAAATTTTATAAATTTATCAATAAATTTCAGTGCATCCATAGGATGGGACAATATGGGACCTTTGCAGGTGTCAGTGGATAAAGATGCATGTTGAGGTGTGAAGATGTACTTTGAAGAAAAGTTGGTTTGATTATACATATACACAAACAGTCTATGGTGTTTGTAAGCCAAATGTGTGTACAAAATATAACATTTCTTCTTTTCTGGCAGGTGTATTGTGATGTTTTTTCTTATCCGTGATGTATAAATGATCAGTATGTTTAAAACTTCTAATAAATGTTTTTTACTAATGAAATTATCCTTGGAAAAAGAAGAAATTTAAATCTTGCACAGAAAAAAATAATTTTCACTTTCTATTTTATTTTATTATTTATTTATTTGTTCATTTGTTTATTTTTGAGATGGAGTCTTGCCTTGTTGCCCAGCCTGGAGTGCAGTGGTACGATCTCAGCTCACTGCAACCTCTACCTCCCAGGTTCAAGTGATTCTCACACCTCAGCCTCCTGAGTAGCTGGGATTACAGGTGTGCGCCACCATGCCCGGCTAATTTTTGTATATTTTAGTAGAGACATGGTTTCACCATGTTGGCCAGGCTGGTCTCAAATTCCTGACCTCAGGTGACCCCCTCCACCTCAGCCTCCCAAAGTGCTGGGATTACAGGTGTGAGCCATTGTGCCTGGCCTTATTTTTATTTTTTTGTTTATTGGTATCTTCTATGAACTTTTAGCCTCTTCAGAGGTAAAGGGAATATTTTTATTTGTGCTTATTTTATTATGCATAGATTTTAGTATGTAAATATGTTTTTATTATAATTTTATTACATATATGTAAACAATTTTAAATTAATCGTTTTAGTTTACCAGTGTCCTCATGAAAATGAAAACGAGCAAATATAAGTGATTATCACTATTCCAAAAGCACTGCTTTAATTTATAGTTTTTTTCATAATAAACTCCCCAACTGTATGTATGCATTCTTTCAATCCAGTTATTTATCAAGCATGATCTGAATACCTATTATGTAGCAGACACTTTCTACCATCTCTCAGGACTCTTCCACCGTTAACAACTTCATGTTTAGCTGCCCACCCTGAGCAAGCTGAGAGATTTAAGATGGAAGCATTAGGACTGAATCCCAATTGGATCTTTTATTCCTTTTTTTTTTTTTTTTTTTTTTTTTTTTTAAACAAAAGCAATTCTGAAGTTAGAAAATAGTAAAAGATAACCTTTAACTGCCCTTTCAAAAACTTATGGCAGTCTCAAGTACTACTATTAATCATTGCAAATACCTAATTTATATAACATTCTATAAGTATTGAAAAAAAATGAACCATACCTATTCATTGAATCCTGAGTTTTCTTTGGATTATTTTTTTGAATATTGAAGGAAGAATTCCTTTGTTTAAAATATTGGTTGTTTTATTTTTGCCTTCTTTTTCCACAGTACTTTATTTAGGTGCCAATTATATGAGTAGAACTTCCTATTCTATGTACTGTATCCCACTTAATGTAAGGCATCATGGATTGGGTGATGCCACATTACTTTATATATCAATAAGATAATGTTTAAAATGTTGCCAGTTATAATTGTAATAAATAATGAATTGTAAACAGTATTCCAATGTCAGAAGATATTAATATGTAAGAGAATAGTAGTTTATATAAAAGAATAGTGAGAAAATGAGCATCTGCGAATGATTGAAATACAATGATACATCTAATCTTTAATAGATACCTCAATGTAGATATGATTGTATCATTTTACTTAATTAGAATGTCTTTGTAAGTAGTAATATCTAAAAATTATTGAGCTGTTATTTGTGTTAGAAAGTGTTCTAAATGCTGTACATAGATTCTTATGTAAGCATCTCAGCAGTGTTCTGTGGGATAGCTACTATTCTCTTATATATTTTATTGATAAGGAAATTGAAGCAAAGAAAGACTAGATAATAGCTAAGTGACAGAGCTTTAAGTAAATTTTAAGCCCCAATTAAACTGAATCCAAAAGCCAAGCTTTTTCTGTTAAATAGCCTGCTCTTTCATTAATGTGATGAGTAATAAGTGCTAACAAAGATTGTACTTTCTTCACAAGAAAATTAAATATTTATTTTGAAGACAGAGAAATAACACGCTAATTAATGCTTACAGTTACCTGTTTTTAAAAATCCTGTCACTCTCGCAGGACTCCCCTACATTTGGCCTGTGCCACTGGCCAACCGGACATGGTATCTCTCCTGGTGTCCGCAAGATGTGAGCTTAACCTCTACGACCGTGAATGCAGGACACCTCTGATCAAGGTATATAGTAGCCGACTCTTTGAGCATAAGATGGATTTGGTTTAAGTACATAGAATAAAAAGAACTTATCTCATTGGATACCCCTATATAACTAGTTAGTAAATCCTATGGAGTGTTTACTTTGATTTTTCAGTATTTGCATGTTTCTCGGTCTAATACTGACAGGCTGTACAACTGAGGCAGGAGGTTTGTGCAACTATTCTGCTGAAAAATGGTGCTGATCCAAATATTATGGATTTCTTTGGAAGGACTGCTCTACACTATGCTGTGTATAATGAAGATACATCCATGATAGAAACACTTCTTTTTTATGGTACAGATATTGAAGAATGCAGCAAGGTATAGATCAACCAACGTTATTTTCAGACTATCTGAAATGCATTTATTTTAACATTGACACATGTAAGGGCCAATTTTTCATATTTGGAAGATCAAACATTCCTTGAATGAAAATATTTTGAAATGCCTTAACTGTCTAAGATTTTACTTTAAATACTGGAACTTTTAAAGAAGCATTATAGAGTACAACTTTTCTTCCTGTGCTTATGGTAAATAATTATAAAAACAAATGAATTACAATAAATTTATAATTCATGACAACTGAATTTGGGAAAGGGAATAGTTAAGTGGTTTTCCACTAAATTACTTTTTTTCTAATCAGTGTGAAGTGACACAGGAAAGTAAAATTTGCCCTTATTAATAGGCTTTATTTTAAATTTCAAAGAAAATTAAAGCATTTCACAATAAATGTCCTTCTTGCCGCTGTTGACAAGTATTGTATGTGAAGGTGATTTCATTTGAAAGTGATTCCTCTGTGGAAAGGCTTAAGAGCGAGAAATGAGGAAAAGGAGAGCAACCAGAAATGCACAAGCTAATTTGGAAATTAGGTAATGAGGGAAAATACTGTGGAGAGGGTTTTTGTGTGTTTTGTGGTTTGTTTTCTATTTATATGTTGAGACAAGGATCTCTTCAGTTTTGGGGATAATTATTCTTACTTTAGGCAAGAGTTTATGAGTTACAAAATTGCCTGGGGATCAGTTTTGGTAGGACTCTGAGGAAACCAGGTTGGCAGTGAATAGAGGCGATGAAGTGGCACACAGTTCAGCAGAGAGAAGAACACACAATTAATGGATATTATTCAATTCTGGCAGAAACAGCCACTTAGATAAGCATCTAAACTCTACTCTCAAGTCCACAATGTCTTGATGGGCAGGTGGGAGATAAGGAGCTTATAAATAGTAAAATCAAGTTGGATTTTGAGTTTACTAGTCTCTTCTCTACCCCTACCCAGGAAAAGTAAATGGAGTTTTCAGTGAACGGCTCTATCTTTTGCTCTTTCCTCTTTTCGGCCAAATCCCAAATGATAAAGGGCATTTGCCATGTGGGTGAGAGATGAGACTGAAGTGATTATCAACTGTGCTAGTCCACAGTTAGAATGGTGCATGACAGTAACCTGGGGAAATTAAAAGCAAATCTCTAAGTCTAGGATATCCCCTGATGATTTTAATATAGTAAATCTAATATTTACTATTAAATATTACTGGACATGTATGTTTTAAAATATTTCCTTGAAGCTGGGCATGGTGGTGCCTCTAGTCAGAGCAACAGAATAAGACACTGTCTCTAACAACAACGACAACAACAACAAATTTCTTGAGACACTGATAGGCTGCTGGTTAAGAACCACTGAATAGATAAGTATAATGTAAATTCTCATCTCTCAAAAACATAAAAAATCTGTAGAAGAGTTGGATGATAGGCGCTGCTTCCTTTAAATTTCTCCTTTCCAATAATATTAGCCTGACTTTTATCTGTCTCTACTTCTGTGGTTGGGAAGTTAAAAGGACTATTATTTGCAGTATCTATCAGCTGAAGAATAACACCTTTTCTTTGCCACCATCACTTATTCACTGCCATTCATAGGGTCGTTAGAAATTTACTATTGGGTACTCTTTCAATAAGTAGAGACTGATTCTTTCAAGACTTCGAGTCTCTTTGTTATCATTCTGGTGATTAGGTCAATACATCATTATTAAAAGCAGGGTTCTCTCAATTCCAATAGTAAAAAATTCTAAACCTTTTTTAAAAGCTGAAGCTCTATTATGGACTGCCTCAGTATGTCAGTTAAGTACATAGAACTATGGCATAATCAGGATAGCAGTTTTAAACACTGAAAACCATGAAGTTAGTAAGAATACGGAGAATACATGTAGGTCATTATTAGAGCTTTAATTGATAAGCCATTGTATTTTTATTTCTGATTTATAGTTTACCTAAAATAAAAAAATTAGGTAACAATATGGACACTAGAATAGTAATTTAAAATTATTTTAATAATATAGTTGCAGCAGTCCTATGAACTAATTATCCATTTGATGAACAATCTGGGAAAATTAAACATAAATTATAAATGCATGCATGTTGCAAAAGTGCTTGAAGTGGGTATTATGACTCTTAGTAACAATTTTTATTGCATTCTTGGACCTGTTTTGGAAAAAAAATTCAGAAACTAAAGAAAGGAAGTATTTTACATGAAAATACTTGCTTTACATATAATCGCTTGGAGACATATCCATAGCAAATATAAAAATACAAGGTCTATAGTCTAAATGTGTCCCATAGATGTGTTTAGTTTGCCTCTATAAATTGTCTCAACATGGAAGGTTTAGGAGACTCACGCACAGATCTGGATTCCAGGCTTCTCTTCAAGAATCCAATCTGGTGTCCCTTGAGCCTATCTCACGTTTAGGATGCTGTGCAGAGGTTGCCCCTTTCTGTGAGGTGTGTGGTCTCCATTCTGCTACTGTGCCTACCTAGGTACTTCCTCAGGTCATCTCCCTTGCCTCTGTAGGGATGACTTTACAAGCCCTGTTTTATAGTATATTTTAGTAAATATTTCAAGGTTTTCAAGACATTTTATATCTATTTAAATATAGAGTCTGTATTTTATATAAATCCCTTAGTGATGGGGTTGAACTTTTGAATTTAGAAGGTGGTGTTTTTATAAACTATTTTTCTTTATATATACCATAAATAATCATCTTCCCATTAGAATGCATGTAAGCTTTTTAAGGTGAATAATGTATAGTTGCATAGGTTATGCATATTTTAGACAACATTATATTTTTCTCTTCAGCATTGCCTCCTAAACATGCAAGTAATTGGCCAGGCACAGTGGCTCAAGCCTGTAATCCCAGCACTTTAGGAGGCCGAGGCGGGCGAATCACGAGGTCAGGAGATTGAGACCATCCTGGCTAACACGGTGAAACCCCCTCTCTACTAAAAATACAAAAAAATTAGCTGGGTATGGTGGCACACGCCTGTAGTCCCAGCTACTCAGGAGACTGAGGCAGGATAATAGCTTGTGCTTGAATCCAGGAGGCGGAGGTTGCAGTGAGCTGAGATGGTGCCACTGCACTCCAGCCTGGTGGGCAGGCGAGACTCTGTCTCAAAAAAAATAAATAAATAAAAGATGCAATAAATTTAGTGGCTTTCATTATGCTATAAATAACTAATACAGGTCATTATTAGAGCTTTAATTGATAAGCCATTGTATTTTTATTTCTGATTTATATTTTACCTAAAATAAAAAAAATTAAGTAAGAATTAATATGGAAACTAGAATACAAATTTTTAAAGGAGTTATGTACCGGGATCCTAAGATTATAATTACATAAATCTTTGCACCAAGGTCCTAAGATTGTAATCGAGAATAACATTTCATACAGAGCTTTCTGACAGCTAAGATAAAAATATTGCTAGAGAAAACCCATGGACTATTTAATAACAAGCAGTGAAAGTTCATTTGAAGCCTATCTCTGTTAATTCAGAGCCCAGCTCTCCAAATTAAAAAGAGATAGGCTTCAAATGAACTGTCAATCGTGTCAGATTCTCGGATGACAATGTCAGGTTGACAATCTCGATTGTCATCCGAGATTCTGACACCATCGATGGAAGAGAATCAGGCAAGTGTGTGTCACCCAGAGGAAACCTCCACCTTTACTGGTAAGCTCTCACAACCGTATCCCTGAAACTCTCATTTCTCAGATGTTAGTCTTCTCCATAATAAGTATTTACAAATAGGGATTAGGTGAAGTTCAAAAGATTCCTCAAATACTAGACACGTAATGCACAGTTTTGTAACATTTTTCAAACATGGGTGATCATGGAATCTTTCTTTTGGGGTATAATGTGCAACTTCTGGTAAAGTAAATATCCTTTGGAATATATTAATAGCTTAAGAAACCCTGCTCTATAGGTAATAATTTAGAACATTAATAAAAATACCTGAAACATTTATTACTATGTCTTATTAGAGTTTGAGGACATAGAGAAAAAAATACAGCTCCTGCTCTCAAGAAGCTCCTGCCTCAGGTGGGAAACAATGAAATCCTTGAAATATGCCGTGCTAAATGCTGTGACAGAAACAAAGATTCTTGGAGCTGGTAAATGTTTGAAGTGAGCTCTGGAGATGACCAGAGTTCTTGTGGTGAGGCTGAGAAGGCTGTTTCCAGGGGAAGGAGTAGAACCTAGAAAAGCGCCGAGGAGTGAAAAAAAGGGACCACCTCTTATGTCCTTTCAATTGTATATATTCAAGCTCGTAGGATCTTATGTAAGGTTTTCAGTTCAGTTGGTAAATATGTAATTTTGTGATTATAAACTGTTGCTGTTGTTTTACAGTATGAATATCAACCACTTTTACTTGCTGTGAGTCGAGCAAAAGTGAACATGGTGGAATTTTTATTAAAGAAAAATGCAAATGTAAATGCAGTTGATTTTCTTAACAGGTACAGACCTTAGTTCTTATTGTGTTGTTTTTAAACCTGAGTGTCATTTTAGAGTGGTGGCAGTCACTCAAGTCAGAAATATTACATTAATAAGAAGACTAACTTTTAATTATTGGGATATAGTGAGAAATATCAACACAGATCATCACTTAGGTAGAAAAACGATTATTTGGACTGAGTAACATAAAGAACAGTGTATAGCAGGATTCATCTCTATAGACATTATACACATAAAAGGCTTCTATATTGACAGATATTTGTTATTTGTAATATGATGTGGTGTTATTTATAATGTAATAATGTGATGCTTTTGATTGTATGATCTTACATTAGCTGTAGGGGTTTCATGTTAGTTTTTAATTTCTGCTGTGTTTTTGTTGTTTTTAATTGATATGGGAAGAGGGAGAAAAGATAGCTTTAAATTGATAAAACTTTACTTTAATGAAGACAAGCTTCATTCACACAGGACTGGGTTTAATCCCTAGCTTTCCCACTTGCTAGATGTGTGACCTTGGTAACATTACTTATCACCAAGTATGTTTTCTTCTGTGAAAAGGAGGGTAATAATATATCCTTCAATGGTGGTTGTGTGTAAATAACATCATATATACATAATGTTAGAATGTCCCACTAACAGAGCAAAGTGCTGATGTTTTGGAAACAATGGCTGATCATATAAGTATGTGCTTATATATATGTGTGTGTGTGTGTGTGTATATATATATTTTATACACACACACATGTATACACACACACATATGTGAATATAATATATAATATATATTATATATACACACATTGTAATGTGTAAGTAAGTATATAATGTAAGCAACATAACGTAATGTCTAATATATAATATACAATATTATATATATAAAATATATAAAATATATTTTTTTGTATGTATAAATTTATATATATTGTGTATATATAATATATATACATAAAATATATATTACATATATGATGTTACTTATATAACCACCCTTGAAGGATACATTATTATCCTCCATATATATATATATGGTGTTTAATGCCTAGCACATGCTTATCAGCATCATTAACTGAAGTTACGACTACTATTAGCATTCCTATTAATATTATTGTTTCAAGCCTGCAGATAGCTCTTATCTGACCCCTTAGCTGATTTTGCATTATAATACATAATATCAGACTAGGGAAGAAATGAATAATTTTTCACTTAAATTTGCCTACTGTAGATAGGTGACCTGAGCATAGTTTCTTGCCCATCAAAGGACTTTCAGTTAGCAACTTTATGTCATACCACAGTGGGACAAGAGGCTTCCTATTTGTTCCTTGCTTTTAACCTTTGTGGTAATTTACAAAGATAAACCCTTGAGCACCCAAGATGCTTGTTTCTTAGTACATGTAATTGGGTTAATTCTGCATGGACAGGCAACATATTAAGTTGATAAAGTATTTAAACTTAGCTTTTAAAATGTCATTAAAGTTTTTAATTACCTCTCTGTTATTTTAGATCAGCCCTCATACTTGCTGTTACTCTTGGTGAAAAAGATATAGTCATTCTTCTTCTGAAGCAGCACAATATTGATGTGTTTTCTCGAGATGCATATGGAAAGACTGCAGAAGATTATGCGATTGAGACTCATAATAAAGTGTAAGTCTTTACATAAAAAGGCTAGTGAACACTAAATTGAAGTTTAAAATAATTGTAACAACTGCATCTTATATATCAGGTGAGATTTCTTAATTTGGTTCAAGTAGTTTTCAAGCGACAAATTTTCAAGTTTTTAAGTTTTCAAGAGTTGTGCAACTTCGTCAGCCAGAAATCAAGCAAAAGACTAGATAAGTAGCAGTAGGTGCAGGATTCTTGATATTGAAACTTTTAGGACTTTTCTCCTTAGGGATTCCAATGTTGTTCATTTTATTTCAAGCATAGGATAAAGTAGTTTCACATCTTTGATTTTTCTAATTAGTTATTTGGGTCTCAAAATGTCCAGCTTATCAAAAAACCTTGTGCTGGTTTCAAGAACCTATGGGGTTCCTTAAGTCCAAGGAAGACAATGAGTTTCTACAAGTCAGAAGGAGAAGGGGAAAGGATATTCTAATCATTGCTTTGTTTTCATTGATTCTGTTGCTGCTTTCTTGCCATTGAAAGAACTCTTGTAGTCTGGTAATGATTAACCTTTGCCACCAATCTTCATGTTGATCCATAAAAAGGCTTCAAACTTACACATACTTTTTTTTAGTTCACTTGCACATACTTATATGCTCATTGTTTCCAAAACAGCAGAACCTTGCTCTGTTGGCTGGATATTCTAACTTTATCAGCACACATACTGAGCAAATTGACACTTTCACCCACACTCAAAACCTGATGTAAAGCCCACATTTTAGCCTGGGCTTCTAGACCTTCATGGTGAGTTATTTTTGAGTCCCTTTTTTTTTTTTCTCTTTAAAGCAAATATTAGTTGGGATAGTTCTAAGCTGTCAGAGATATTCAAATAATGTTGTAGAAAGAGATCATGGTTTTTTTCTTTATTGCTACCAGATCTGTACCCTGACACTTTTTAAATAAACAGTGTAAGAGCTTTTCTCAGGTAGGGGAAGCTTCTATGCCATCTTTCCTTAGAGTAGTAGGCATCCGCTTGTGGTTGGCCCCTTAAGTGATCTGTTTTCTTTAATAATGAAGATCTCTCAAGCTGCTTGCATCACTATCTCAGTTTACTGGGGACCATCTGCTATCACTATCTCAAGTTTTTAAGATTCTACCTCATAGGAAGCCATTCATCAGAATTATTTGAGTCTCAAGTTGCTTAGTTAGATTTAACAGAGCTAAGCCTCATCCATGACTTATCAGCATTTATATGTAAAAGTAAGGCTTTGTGCTTGCTTTGGCAGCACAAATACTAAAATTGGAACAATACAGAGAAAATTAGCATGGTGAAGCATTTCATAATCTTGCAGTCACGGGAAGGTCACTTGACTGTTTGCTGGCTAGCTAAGTAACAGTTTGAATCAAAACAAAATGGGTGGCACCTTATATTAGAATTGTGATTTTTCACTACAAAAATATTTGTGTAAGGTGATCTATAAACTGAGAATGGAGGTAAGTAACACAGGGGGTGTTGTGTAAATATTTTGTTAGTATGTATCTTGGAAATGAGAAAATGTCAATTTTCATGTATTTCATGGAACTTAAAAAACATGAAAGTAGGGTTTTGTCTTCCATGTCAGTTGGAGATAACATCACTGATGGCGATTAACCATCATTCTAGCAAACATCTGATGTTCAGTTAGAGTCTGTAGAGAAGTAATAGTGGTAGCTCAAGCCAGATCTTGACATCTGTTAATTTTCTGCCCTTGGAACTGATGAGCTCAATAATAGTGAACAATCATGTTACCTATTTTAATGAAATAATGTATTCATAAATAAGTTTATTTAAAAATTATGAAATGGTTGAGATGCCCTTAATTATAAGCCACAAATAATAGAACAATAAAGCAAAATTAGGACTTAACATTTTTCTTAAACAGAAGCATTTAAATATTAGAACCTATGAAAAACTACACATTGGGTTTGATTTGGGATTTCAGAATAGTTTCAGCAATAAAGTTCAAGAGCAAATTCCACTGCTTTACTATTTCTCTGTGAATGTTAAAAATGCTACTTCATTAAACCTATATAACAACCTAGTGAAAGAAGTCAGTAAAATCTAAAAGAAGACATGGCGCCTAAGAGAAGCAACTTACAAGAGCAAATACCTGTTGGCTATAGAGCCAGGACCTACCAGTAAGAGCCAGGAAGGTGACTTTCCATTACGTCAAGCCGACGTGAGATAGTTTGCTGCGCTCGCTTCATGAGTACTTCACCTGTTTTTATTATTTAATTAGAAAGGTACTAAGAAGTTTGTAGAGCTTATAGAAGAGAAGTGTATAGGATAATTAACATCCTGATATTGTTTAAGATACTCTAATAATTTAGTATATTTGGTAAATGTTTTTGATAATAGTATTAAAATATTAATTTCATTTGTTTTTATACATAGCATTTTCAGACTAATTTCTGAATACAAAAGAGAAAAGACATCTGAAGAGCTTCCTATAAATAGCAATCCAGGTAAGATTTCTGATAGTGAATTACTCTTGATGGTACTACCACGGATAAAAAAGAATAAAGATGTTCTGGTTACAAAAAAGCAGTTTAAAAAAATCACTGTTTAAATTGCACGCTTTAAAAAAATACTTTCTTAGTAGTCTAGATTTTATAATTATTTAAAAAGTTAATTGTAGGTAATTTATACTCTCAGTATTGTTTGAAAAAAATTATTGTTTAATTATGGTTCCTAATAGTCTAGATAATCTTTTTGTGTAAATAAGAAAATTTTTAAGTTATTATGTTATATGTTTTCTTTATAGTCACGTTATAATGAATTAGACTTTTTATATAATTAGAACTTCTATTTAATTTGTAAAATAAATTCTTTGCAGTTAGTAACTGAATCAATAATTACAGTTGACCCTTCAACAACATGGGATTTAGTGCTGCCAATCCCCATGCTGTTGAAAATACATATTTGGTATGTTATATGTATTAAACATATTGTATTCTGAGTACAAGAAAGTAAGCTAGAGAAAAGAAGCTTTTGCAGTAGTTAAAGCTGTAGTTTCCTTGTAGTTCAGTCCTTAAACTACTATCAGTCTAGTGTAAGGTATTCACCCATTCATGGTAAAATAAAGTAAATTTACTCCATTTACTCATTTTAAAATGTTGGTCTTTTTCTTGCCAGGCCTTCTTTGTTTTATTTAATTTTTTATTTATAAAAACAGTAAGAGTTGGTAGGGTTTTTTTTCCTGTGAAAACCATCAGTGAAGAGGCCATCTTGATCTAGGAAATACAAACATATTTATTTGGTGGCAGTAGAAATATAAAGCAGAAACAGAAAAGAGGTACAGTTAACATGATTTACTGAATGTAAAACATTAGTGGGGAGAGAGAACTCTTGGATCATTCATATGTTTCCAGGTTGTGTACCAGCCTTTATACTGCACATGAGAAAGGAGTAGGACGTGTTCAGTGAATGGAGAAGTACAGCTGGTCAATAGGGAAGAATAACTTCCCTTCCCTCCAACTCTGAGGTTGGAGTTGCAGACGTAGAATGATGTTATTATAATTATTAGGCAAAGTCAGCGATCTCAATGAGCTGTCCATGATGCAGATGTAGAATGAGAAGGCATCCAGTGACAAAACCCTGGGAATGTTAACATTCCCTCCCACCCCCAGAAAAAAAAGAGTTGGTAAAGGAGAAAGCAGTGGCTAGAGAAAAGTAGGAGAGGAGTCAGAGGAAGTGATGTTGCAAAAATAAAAAATGTGAGAACTTCAAGGAGGGAGTATGAATTCTAACAAGTAAGATTACTAAAAAGTCAATTAGATATAACTTTTAAAAGCTCTTTGGCGGTGCCCCTTTCAATAGAACCATTTTTGAGGTGTAATGTGGGCCACTGATGTGATTGGTATGTCTGGTGTCCAAATATGGAGGAATAAATCTACCAAGATCCCGCCTAACTCTTTTGTAACTGCAGAAGCTACATGCACAGGGTCAGGGAAAATGGTCTTGACTTCTGAGTACATGTGCCCACACTTTTACTGAATTGTCAAAACCTAAGGGTAATGTGTGAGAAAAACTGTGGTCTTCTTATCAGCTCCTTGTGGAAATACTTAATTTGTACTGAAATCCCTGATAAGTTCTTCTGGATGCATTCTGAAACAAAAGTCTGGCAGCAGTAACTGGACCCAGCTTGTCCAAAGCACATACATCCAGACTCCCTCCGACATGGAATCATAACACAGCCACATTTTGAGAGTTTCGAGTTTCAATCAGAAGTAGTTTACAGACGAGCAGTTTGGAGAAGCTGACATCTTTTATCTAATGTCATGGAGAAAAATATAAGGTGATGTGCTAAATATACCAAGTCTCTGTGTTCTGGCACACTTTGTTTTAGTGCAATTCCCTTTTCATGACCTCTCTAATAGCTCAGCTTTTACTGTTTTCTTTTGAATTTCATCCCTAAAGAAAATATTATTAGAACACATCCCTAAAGAAAATATTATTAGAACACATTTGAATTTCATCCCTAAAGAAAATATTATTAGAACACATTTCTAACATAGGTATTTTTGACAACTATATATAATTTTCTTTTAAGAGAATTAGCTACTTATTCTCAAGTATATCTGGTATTCTATTAATCTTTAATGCTAAACTTCTTTATATCTTTAGCACAATGACAGTGTAAGTGATGATGGTTCTTTAAGATTTTAAGTTTCTTTTAAATTTTCAAACTTTAAATGTCTTAAATTTTCAAATCAAGTTAAGACACTTAAGGTGTCTTTTAAATTTTCAAACTTGACATAGTTTTAATGTAAAACACTTTTCTGGTATTATATTTCTTCAAATATTGCTAATCTGTTACTTAGCTGGAATATTTGGTCAGTTGGATTACCACACCTTTAACCATCTATATAAAACTTTCTTGATTTTTTTTTTTTTTTTTTGAGATTGAGTCTTTTGCTGTTCCCCAGGCTGGAGTGCAATAGTGTGATCATAGCTCACTGCAGCCTCAAACTTCTGGGTTGAAGTGACCCTCCTAACTCAGCCTCCTAACTCACTGAGACTGCTACAAGCATATGCCACCATACGAAGCTAACTTTTTTATCTTTTGCTTTTTAGAGACAAGGATCTCTCTCTGTTGCCCAGGCCAGTCTCAAACTTTTGGTTTCAAGTGATCCTCCTGCCTCAGCCTCCCAAAGTGCTGGAATTATAGTCACGAGTCATTGTGCTGGTCCATAACTTCCTTTATTCCCCCAGATAATATTAAAGTCCTATTGACCCTTAATAATAAAAATCCACTGTTTGGGAGGAGAAGTGGATAACTCATCCTACATTTTAAATGCAGTTTTTGACTTTTTGACCTGTTCTGTGAAGAATTGCCTTTAACAGATGGTTTTTAGTTTTAGATATTTTTAGTTTTGTAAGAACTTAAGAAAAAAAATTAGAAACAAATTAAATGAGCTCTATGATCAATAGTACAGTATTATACTATATCCAATGGCTACATATATTTCTATAATTATCACAATGACCTGAATGATGCAAATTATTTTATGTATGTTTTTACTAATAGATTTTTTTTGAGACTGAGTCTCGCTCTGTTGCCCAGGCTGGAGTGCAGTGGTATGATCTCAGCTCACTATAACCTCTGCCTCCTGGATTCAAGTGCTTCTCCTGCCTCAGCCTCCCAAGTAGCTGGGACTATAGGTGTGCGCCACCACGCCCAGCTAATTTTTATATTTTTAGTAGAGATGGGGTTTCACCCTTTTAGTCAGGATGGTCTCCATTTCCTGACCTCGTGATCCACCTGCCCCAGCCTCCCAAAGTGCTTGGATTACAGGTGTGAGCCACCGTCCCCAGCCTACTGATACATTTTAGAGACAGGGTCTCCCTCTGTTTCCCAGGCTGGAGTGCAGTGGTTATTCACAGGTACAATCTCCACTGCAGCCTCGAACTTTTGGTCTCAAGCAATCTTCCTGCCTCAGCCGTTGGAGTAGTTGGGAGTACGGGTGCGTGTCATTGCACCTGGCCTGATCCCCAATTATTACAAAAGAAACCTTGCTGAGTTGAAGACAATTGACGGTGATCTTTTTGTTTCTCTTCTAGAAGCTTTCATACTATGGAATATATTTTTAATCATCCATATTCTTTTTTATTCTGGTTAAAATAAGATTGCTGCTTGTTTTTCATTTTTTTTGGCATAATTATTTCTATTCCTTTATGGATTTATTCATGCGGAAATAAAGGAATCTCAAAGGCAACTGTCAAGGAAAACAGATTAGGGAAAGATATTTTATAAACAGCCTTCCGATTGTAGTCACATGTCACATCACCTAAAAGAAAACTCATTTCATATAATGCAGTAGTGTTGGGGTTTCCCAAGACCACTTCTGTGTTTAGTGATTCACTTGGAAGGACTCAGCAAACAGTCCTACTCAGGGCTTTGATTTGTTTCAGTGAAAGAATAGAAAGTAAAACTGGCTCAGGGCAAAGGGGCATGTGGCAAGTCTTGGGGAAGCCAGGCACAAGCTTCCAGGAGCCCTCTCCTGTGGAGTTACCAGGATGTGCCGAATTCCTGTAGCCTGGAATTTTGACAGCACATAGGCGGTGGTGTCTACCAGTATGAGTCTGACTAGAGACTGACACAGTAGCCAAGGTTTTTATGGAAGCTGGTTACATAGGCATTCTCTCTCACACAGGTACAAGAATTCCACACTTCCACAAGAAAAGCAGCTGCTCAGAGTCAGCCACATTATTTATGCAAACAGTTTAGGCACAGTGAGCTACTTTTCTCAGTTAGGAAATGGTGACAAACCTTTAAAATGCAAATTTCCAAACAGCAGCAAAGGGCCAATTTTGCATGCAGGCTTTTCTAAGAATGACAGTCTTATGACTGTTATATGAATTATTTTTTTCACAGCAGTTATAGCCCCAACTTAATTTTAGTTATTGTCTTAAAAATTCTATTTAATAGTGAATAATATGGTGATATAACATAGCATGGTGCTTATTTCATTTGTGTCAGTTGCAACTTAATATGAAATATTAAGTTTCTGTGCTGTTAGATTTTGGAATTTTGGTGAATATTTAACAGGTTTCTATACCGAAGTTACTATGGCAATATTAGATAATTATAATCTGTTCTTATTTGATTAACCTTTCAGTAAAATGGTTAGATAAAATAAGTAATGATTTCTGATTTAAAATTAAAAGATTTGTTTCATTTTAATTATATAGATGGTTCAGTTTTGTTTTACATTTTGTTAAATTTTTGTTTATAATTATGAAATTTAAAAAATCAATCATTTATCAGTTATTTTCTTGCCTGTTAATATAGTTAAGTTATTTGCTTTATGTATTTTTATATACTATAATTCTGGAGAGAATATTCATATTCTGTTTCAAATTGAGTACATCTTGCTACAATATATGGTAATAGAAGATTCAGTGACAATCTTTTAAAAAAAATTAATAACTTTATTTTAAGAGCAGTTTTACATTCTCAGCA